TGTGAGTGTGGCTGAGGCTCTCTCATGTTGGTGTAAGCCCATTATTGCATTGCGTATGCCATTTCATCCATAGCATGGTGCATGTTCGGTTGTGTATTACCTCGTGTAGCGTGTATGCCATTCCATGACATTGTGTATGTTAGGATTGTATCTTAGTTGCATTTCATGCATGTCATGCATATTGAATCGTGTTCGGGATAGGGGTTAGCCCGAGCACGGGAAATGAGGTACGTTTCGTACTCCGAGTGACGGAACGTGTCTCAATTCCCCAGTCACCGACACTCCGGATTATCCATGATGGAGTTAGGTTTTTGTTGTGTTTATATGTGCATTCATTCTACATTGAATTGCACAATTCGACCCCTCGGCCATCATGCATCGATATGCGTGATTGGTGGCACGAGGATCGAGACATGCATATATCTGTGAAAATACATTGCCATGCCCCTTTCCTGCTCTATGTTGCAGCAAATTGAAGAATCAGCAACTTTTTGGAGCTTGGCGCGCATTTCAAGAAAAAGTGTAAACAGAGGCTAATTGGGGCATCGTCATGGATTTCCGCGCAAAGGCAACCCGGGCATGCATCATTTATCATCCGGAGTGGAGTCAAGGCAGTCCCTGGCTTGCATGCCAGTTTATTTATTTTCTTAGTTAATTTGTTAATTAATTAGGAATTTGTACATATTCGGACTGTAATATTTATTTGGACTGTACTATTCTTTTATTCGGGACTGTATATTTATTTGGACCCTCTGTGCGAGGGCATAATTGTAATAAGTGTGCGTGAGTGTGATGTATGTCTTCCAACCCCACGTCTTTCTTCCCTTTTTATTTACCTGCTTATGATGGTTAGATTAGGGCATATTTCAATTAGCATACAGTATGACAGCATGTTTGCATCATTCATCTGTTTTGCATGCACCGGGCTCGGCGCATCATACTAACTGCATTTGTATTTCAATTCCAAATTGAATACATGTTTAGCTGTAGCATTCCATATGCCATGTTTAGAATAGCTGAGCCTGCTATAGTTTGCATTTTTGCATGTGTTGCATTAGGCATTTCTGTATACTTAGGATCATGCATGATTTCTAATGTAGTTTCTGTTTTGGCTCGGAGTACTCGGTGAGTTTTTATGCTTTAGCATCCTTGCATGCGTGTGAGTGACTGCCATGAATAGCATGCTTACCATGAGGCTATATGCTTATGTGATATAACTGCCTGAATGCCTGTGGGTGAAGGTTGGGTTACTTGGATTGGAATAAATCATCAACTGTTTGTTTTAAGCCCACTAGATAGTGGCAAAACCATCTTTTCTAAGCCCACCTGCGGGTGGCAAAATCTGCATTTTAAGCCTACTTGCGAGTAGCAAACCATCTTTCAAATAAAAAAGCATGAAATGTTTTGTTCCAATTCGGGCGACCCAGTCTATACTTATATGCTGTGTGCATCACATAGTAACCTAGGCTAATAACCGGAATAAGGACACACAAAGTTTTCAAAAATTGATATCATGGTTAGTAGAGGCCGATCTTTGATATAATCCGAGTCCGGAACCGAGTCCGGAATACAATAACCAATGGAGGAAAAACCGAGATTGCTATAAAAAATGCTAGATATAATCCAGGGGTGGTTGGTAACTTGGCAAAGGCCTGGGATTAAGTCCCCAAGTCCCAGGTTCAAATCTTCTTGGGCCAATTTTCTAGGCGTAGCGTAATTGGTTAGGAGGTTAGTCTCAAATTGTTACTATCAAAAGTATTTGGTATGGGCCCAATGCTCCCCCACTGCGTGAGTCCTTGGAAGGTCAGAGCAAGTTCTCAAGTTATAGTTTCCTTACTCGGAACGAACAACAAGTACCTTAGTGATCTCTACAACGGGCGCTGTCCTGGATCTACGGGAGAGTGAAAGGATTTTTTTGTAACAAAAAAAAAAAAAAAGCTAGATATCTAAATTTTTTATTAAACATTCACATGGGTGTGTGAACAAATGACACTTGTTTATTTTAAATGAGATCTATCATACTTTAAATAAGACCTATTACAATATTTTAATTAATTATGAAGTGTATTTTATTCACACACATTATCAAATGTGTGAACAAAATAAATTTTCATTAAAATAAAAAAAAAAATTGTATTATATAAATACCTCCATTCTTTTGTCATTAGAGAATTATGTTCTATCCATTTATTTTTCCCTCCCTTTATAATATTATACTTGTCATATTGTTTTATCAATTAATATCAACTGTTAGATATTAGTGAAACACATCCCATGATAAATGTAGTATTATTATTTTTCTTTGTTAATTTCTCTCTTTACGAGTTCCATTCAATTAAAAAAAAATTAGTCTGTCCTTTCTGATTTTTTGAATTAACTTTAAAGAAAATATAAGGTGTCGTTTGGTAACACTTACGTTTTTAATTTTTTCTTTATATTTACAAAAATTTAAAAAACTCAAATAAAAACTTGTTTGATAAAATTTTGATTTATAAATCAGTGGTCTCAGTTTATAAATTTGGCCAAAAAATGTGTTTCCGTTTTGAATTTTCAATTTTTTTTTTTTACTACCCAACACTAGCAACCACCCGTTGTCATTTTCCACCACCATCTTCCGCCACCACCACCCACCATCCACTCCCCACCACCACTCACCACCCACTTGCCACCACCACCCACCACCCACTTGCCACCTACTCACCACCACCACCCACCCCTCGCTACCACCCACCACCTGCTTGCCATCACCACTCATCACCCACTTGCCACCACCAACCTGAAAATAAGGCGGACGAACAGAGAAAATTCAACTAGAAAAATTCCCTAGTCTAAACCAGAGAAAATTCAACTAGAGAAATTCTCTGGTGCAACCCAGAGAAAATTCAATTGAACAATTATAGACTTGTAACAAACTTGGTCTTTGTGAGGAATTTTGTCGAACACTTTACTAGTATTATCTAGAAGTCAGGTTTTGGAATAGAGAGAGCTTGAGAGAAAGAGAGAGAGAGAGAGAGTGGAGTTAGAGGCTGAAAGAAGAGAGAAGAAAGGGAAAACAAGACTTGAAAAGGGTAGTGAGAGTGCAGTGGTTAGATAGGGTGGGGTGGCAGAGCGTGGAAATAAAGTAGCGCAGAGAGGGCGGAGTTAGAGAGGGCGGAGATGAGGGAGGGCGGTCTGGGAGACGATGTTGGGGGAGGGGATTCGTAGATCAGAGCTTGCTGTTCTTCTTCTTTATCCACCATTGTTGAAGCTCAGTAGTGACACACAGTAGAGAGAGAGAGAGAGAGAAAGAGAGAGAGAGAGAGAAGTGTAAAAGGCACGATTGATCTGCACACCATGATGTTCTACGAAAATCTCCATTACAACCTAAAATAACATTGAGAGACCTTAGACATCAAAAAATATTATTGCGGACCTCTCATTCTACTAAAAGTTGAGTAGGGATCTTAGACAAATTTTCTCTACTTTAAAGACTAAAAAGTATCTTTTATCCTATATATATTTTTAGGGGTTGTTTGGGGTTTCCTAAATAAGTGTACTTTTTGACTTTTTAGACTAAAAAGTTGAGGAAAAAAATATGGTTGTTTGGGTTAACTTTTTGACTTTTTATGAAAAAATGTGTATTAAAAAATTGTATAAATTAGTGTGTAGAAGAAGATTAGAGTGTGAGTTGTACGGCTGTCATGTCTACAAAGGTGGAATAGTTGCTAAGAAGTAATTGTCTACTTTTTGGACATTGCACTGGACGGTGTTATTCGGCTCGTAGGAGCCATCATGGATCCCGTTTTGATAATCTAAACCGTTCAATGTGTAGAAGTCGTCGAATACTATATGCTTGTAAAAAAATACGTTAATCGGATATCGATAGCTATCTGATCAGATTTTTTTTTTCCAACCGTTAATTATAACACCTTTATTTTTTTTATAAAAAACTGTTTTGATCATGTAGTTATCGATATCTGATCAATGTGATTTTTTCATGCGAAATTCTCCCTCCATGTGTGTCTTTATTATTGATTGATGATATAGTATTATCATTATATTGAATTTTTACTCAAATTTTGTATAAAATATAACTTTATCATCATATAATTTATTTTAAAACTTATATCCATGATTATTTTTGTATTGTCCATAATACATTAATTACAAAGAAGATTATTTTTTTGATCTTTTTTGAAATTTATCGTAAAAATTTATATAAAATATTTTTATAAAAAATTTCAATGTTATAATTAATAAGTCTTTGATTTAATTTTCTGATTCTGCCACTGCCTACCAATATTGCTACAATCCATGATGCGGGTTTCCACTCCTACCATATTATCAGCTCCCCCCACACCCACCAAACTCCAGGGGGTGCATTTACACACTTTGATTCACATCACATTGCTTTCCTATTACACCCAATCCACTAGCTTACCTAATATTACAACAGTTAACACAGACATATCAAAACCATTTATTTAATACAGACGCGAGATTCTTTTAACATACTAAAATTCTCAAAGATCTTAAGCTATAGACTAAGCGGCCTAATGATTATGCTATTCTGTCGGAGTTTGGTGCTTCTGACAATTATAAACATACTCAATTAGACACATCTCATACTCAACCCACGTAGCATAGATTTTTTGCCATTCAATTGGGTATTACCAAGAATGCCCAACTCATTGAGATTTTGACGATGCTACCTATGTGAGTTTGAAACCAAGCCCAATTAAGTGAAGCTGACTGACATGTCAAGCACTAATTCATCGGTTTCAAGCAATTGTATATCATTTTTTGAGGTTTATAACTTTCTCCAGTAAAGTCATGCTTACCATTTGGTTTGCACATCCACAATTACATAACACTACATCATAATGCAGTTGGTCACATCAACGATAATAACAAACAAATGGTAAACATAACATTTTTTTTATATTTTTCTTTTTCATGACCTTTTATCTCCTCTTCAACGTTGTCCTATCATTTTCATTTCGTCTGAAATGCAGTGAGAGTGAGAGTTGGCTCAATTTTGGGCAGTCAGAGTAAATAAAAACACCCCAGAATGGGAAAATGAAACCACTAACCGTCAAAACAATGCCATCAGTCCAGGCATAGTTTCTATTTGCTTGGATTTGTGAGGCCGAGAAGCCAAAATATTAGTAAAAACAAAGCTAATCCCAGTCAATTTCTCAGAAAATAAGGAAAATTCAGGTATTCAGTTTTTCCTCGGAAAATCTGGGAAGTTGAACGAGTGAGTTGACTCGAGTAACACCTTCCAAACCTGACCAATTCTGATCCTCATAAGCTGCAGTCTCCCCATTTACTTCAGCCTCAACAGTTCTTTTGTAAGGATCATGTTCTTCAGCAGATCTGACAGTGAAATTTCTCTGCAAAGATGGCTCAGAGTTCTGTCCATCGTCTGATTCCACGGCATTGCCAGAATGATTGCTCTGAAGCGTTGCAGAAGAGAAGCCTTGGTCATCATAATCTGATTCTGAGTCCATTTTACCGTCCAAAAATAAGCAAACCACGGCACAGTCATCCATCTTTGATGTGGGATATTTGGATTTCCATTCACGTGCTGCAGAGTTAACAAGGATCCTTGCAGCTGACGACCGGCTAGGAGCTGATGATACTATCTCAACCACTTCTTCGTTGCTTAATACATCCCAAACCTGCAACAGAACACACCAGAACTGGTTTTTGTTAAAAAAATATAAAATTAGAAGAAAAGATGTAAACTCAATGTCTTTGTCCACTCATTGACGACTTCAAATTTTCTTGAAACAAGGAAATAACTAGAACAAAATTTCAAGACTATTACACCCACACCATACTAGAACAATTAACATTCAAGCATATCTGCTGCTTTTCTAATGTTTCCAGAACCATTTGTATCCAAACATACCTCTAAAGCGTTTTCCAAACAGCAAGGATTCAATTCAGAATAAATCTTATGATCTCTTCTTCGATTTGGAAATCATACTGTTTCTTTTTTCTTTTTAAAATTCAGTCATCAGTTGTGATATACATAGAGTTGGTAATTTAAACAGGGAGAATTCACCATCCGCACTATTTAACAGAAACTCCACGAGCAGAGAGGAGATAAATCTGTCATGTTATGTGGTGAATGCAGTATTTTATCAATGAGCACAGATATCTTTCCATCTCAAACATATTATCTTTCATCTGCCCACATATTTTAGAGATTTTTGTAACTGCCATTGGATATGAAATTATGCATGATTGCAAGTCTATAAAAATAATAAGCAATCATGAAAGAAACATTTCCGATGTACAGGAAATAAGATTGCACATGAGAGGCCACATATGCCTTCATCAAGAATGGTAGTTGACCAATAAAAACTCGATGTTAACATTAAAAAGAAATGGATATTATTCAGCATTAGTCTTCCTTATCAAGGTGCTAGGAAAATTAATATGTCAATATCATACGAAGAAAATCAATTATGGATGCAGAACACTAAATGAATATCTATCACTATTCACTATCATTGAGTAACTCAAATGCACAAAAGTCAACTTGATCAAACAACAATTAACAAATTTCTTCTTTCTTTTTTTCTCCACACTATCAAGAGAAAATGATTATAAGTTTAATTTCTTGGGGAAAACGACGAAAGAAAAGTTTTGAATGAACAGGAAAGCTAACTTATTCATGAAAATTGAAGGCCCAGTATCTACACAACAAATTTGTTAGGCAAAACCTACATGTTTCTAAATGATTTGGTAATTATAATTGTCGTGGCTGTTAACCAAAAAAACACAAGTAGTACTTAACCATTATGAGTAATATAATATATATACATGTTATGACAGGTAGATGAGAATTTTTTTTTTGAACTAATTAGCTTAAACAATGATGACACAATGTTAAAACCATATGCTACCTAGAGAAACTAGTATAAAGGAAAATTGTGAAGATGCAGAATGCAGTTGGGATAACTGGACAAGTATAATGCCAATCTATATTCCTGCCCATAAGTAAAGATCAAGTGTCTGTTCCAAAGACAAGGGAGTAGAGACCAAGTCAAATGCACAATTATTTGGCTTCCTGAAGATACATCCGCTGCATGGTTTGAATAGGCTAATGCGCTGAAGGCACAAGTTCACATCCATATTCTTGTTTACAGTCTCAAGTCAAAACATGTGCTAAAGAATCTTCTTAGTTTCTTTTTCCCATTTTTTTTTTTCTTTTTCTATGTTAGGATAGCATAAGTTTAAGTCGGCTATTTCCGATGATCAAATCTCCAAAGACTAATTTTGGGGTTTTCGATTGGTAGGATGCTTTAGTTGAGTAAGTGAAATTGAGTACACCACATGGAAAATATTCTTCAGTAAGTTATGCAGTCTTCAATTCCATTTCTAGCACTGTTCAAAAAAATATATATATATTCCATGTCTAGCAGGTACACGACCTTGCACATCTCTGTTTGGCATCTCACTTACATCCAGGCACCATCCCCTCTTATAGGACTTTGGGTCTCCTTTGTGCAACTTCTTGCAAGCTGAAAACTAATAAAAAAAAAGAATAAACTAAAAGTACCCCTCCCTCAACTCCCCAATAATAAGCTTTTTTTCAACTGCAGTTAAGCTATTTTTGCCTCATAAAATGAAAGCAAAAGCTCCCCCCGAAAAAGTTGTAAACTAAATTGAGCCTAAGTGTTGCTATAGCACCCAAGTTGTGTTAGCCAGGTTTCTGAAAATATGAAACTTATTTTAGATTATGGACACATCCAAGAAGCATTTGATGCGTGTCTAGAAGTGTCCAAGAAGTGTCAATGTCCAGCATGAGCACAGCTCCTCTACTAAAGTGTCTGTGTCACTTAGGTTCCATGCATATGTAATTTCTCACTTTCATTTGGTGCTGTTTACCCTCATATAATTTCAGTTATTTATTTCTTTGTTTACAGACAAATTCACATAATTACTCTGCAAACCAAAGATCCCCTATACTAATCTGCAATCTACACTATGATGCATGGGTGGAAAACTTACCCCATCAGAAGCAAGAACAATGAACTTATCTCTTTCCGTAAGAATCCGGTGAGAGAATTCGGGAATAGAGATCACCCCATATTCCTTTAAACAAAAGTCCCCAAATGCCCGAGCCATTGCTAAGCCAGGGGCATCATCAAACGGCAGCCAAACTCTTGACACTTCAGGTTCATCTTGCAACGCAAAAACCCTTCCTTTACACCGTTTAATCCTTTCAGCTTCCCCTATTAATAATCACCCCAAATCAACACAATTCGGACATGAAAACAAACAGCCCAACAATTGAATCATGGTAAAACATACTTGGCAAATCAGGCTTTAGATCAACTGTCAACTGAATCGCTACCATGGAATCATTACCGTCCTTGGATCCCAAGATCGCCCGAGAATCCCCAATACTTGCCATGAAAAGATTTGCACCCTTGCAATCAAAACAAGACAACGAGAATATTAAAATTTAAAAAATTTAAAAAAAAATCAAAGAAAATGAAGAAACAAAATGAAAACCAACAAAGAAGAGTGCTGGTAGTGCTTCCTGCCATACCTGTTTCACTATAGTGACAGCAGTACTGCCACTGCAAAAGCAGTCCAAGTTAGGGTGGGACCTTAGCTCTTTGTCCATTGCTTTGTATGATTTAAGAAAAGCTTCTCTCCATAAAGAGCCCACTTTATATTCTGTAGTGCCATCCTTCTCAAGATCTCCTCCATCTAACTTAAGATTCCCAGTGCAACAAGTAGTACTAGAACCACTTTGCTTTGATTCATAAGAATGCAAGAATGACAATATCTTTAATGGCAATGCATCCCTTACTTTGCGGGCAACAAGATGACCATGTGGACCGTGGCCATCAAAGACACCACAAAAAGTTGCATCTTCTGACATAAAGTCCTACAGAAATACATAGGTTAAGAAATTGACTCCAAAAAATTACTAAAATATCAATCTCAAACAGAAGGATTGAACTTACTTCCCACACAACCATTGCATCCTGGTTTATACCCTTACGGCCCTGCTGAGTGAATATACAAGAAGATCGGCTCTTGCCATTCATGAATATTCGGTTAGGAATGGAGGAAAAATGCTGCAATGTGGTGACATGATCGGAAAATGTTTTCCTATTTCTCTTTCTCCTGCACATTCCAAGGCCCAGACGAGAGCGAGAAACACACCCTCCATTATTCCTGTTAGTATGGCTACTCCGACTACTAGTCGAAACACAACTCCCCATTTCTTCAGTCTTAGAAAGAATACATCTGTTTGAAACAAGGTACAACACGCCCCCCTTCTTGTAAGACCAGATCTCCAAATTCCCAAATCAGGTTGTAAAGTCAACCCAGCAGAAGGCCGAGGAAACTCCTGAGATTCCCACACACCAAACCAGGGCAACTTGGAACTTAATATAGACAACTCCGCTCTATTTATCTTTGGTCAAATGTCAATCCACTGGAGGAGACACAAGTCAATAATCAATCCAGCTAAAAAAATGAGAAAAATTATTAATCATATTTATCAATTTTGTATCTTATTCTTATATACCAATATAAGGCAAAACAGTTTATTTTATAAATGCTGAATGTGAACAAGGAATTTAAAATTACACAAAGCCATCAAGGGAAGTCTCATTCATAAAATTAAACAGCATGAGCATATGTAATTATATCCACAAACAAACAATATAATACTCCAAGAAAAAACCATAAATCAGGATACCCAGTTCGTTTTTAAACAGTTACAAGACACCTCAAAAAAATATTCTGTGAATTTTAACTACGGACAGCAGTTCGATAAACACGAGGTTAGTCAATAATCTCCCACTAGTTAATTAAATAAGTTTCCACAGGCGTTAGGAATACTTGTACCTGCCTCTTTCTTCATCTTTCCACCTCTCCACGTAAAAATATAGCTCAGAATCTACAAGTGATTTTAAGAATATTTCCCCGTATACATACAGAAAAAGAGGGGTATTTCAGGAAAGGATCTAAATCATTGTTTATAGAAACTTCAAAAACCCTAGACTTTTAAGGCAGAATTTTGCAAAGAGAAACAAAAGATTTTTATCTACATCACTATTCAATCACCCAAAAAAGAAAGACTGCTTGTTTCAAATTTCGATTTTTTTATTTCCCCTCCAAACATATAAAAATGGAAAGAAACTGAAAAGCCGAAGAAGCGATCAAATTGTGTTCTATTTGGTGAAAGTGAAAGAAAAGTCGAAAAAACAGTGAATGGTCCGTTTGGTTGCATTGCAGAGAAACGAAAAGAAAAAAAACAGTGGAGAATTTCAAATCATAAGAAATCTACACTCAAGACAGAGCAAAACACAAGCATTATTCCTGGTAAACATATTAACTGAAATTTTTCAAAACGAATTGATTTTTTTTCTATTTTACCTCGGTTTTCTCGGCAACCAAACACACACAGAAATGGATGGAGAAAATAGGTACAGAGAGCCCTCTCTCTCTCTCTCTCTCTCTCTCTCTCACCACTCCTCAAAGCATGCATTTAATTTAACAGCAAATCCAAAACAAATACGAATGACAAAGCAGGTAGATCAAGTCAATCCAACAAAATAAACAATAAAACGCGATGACAGTTACCTCTGTAATAATTCTTCATTCGGCGAATTCATTCAGGATGACCCCATTTCAAGTTTTAAGTAGAGATCGTAGATAGATAGAGAGAGAGAGAGAGAGAGAGAGAGAGAGAGAGAAGGTTTTAGTAGTTAAAAAAGCAGGAGCATTAATTGCGAAAGCAAGCAAAAAGTGGAAAGACCAGTTGTTTGAGAGACAGAGAGTAGTCGTCTACAGAGCGTCGGCTGAAAAACTATTCAGTGCTCTCGCAACCCCACGCGTTCATAGTTTTCACTAAAATCATGCGGATTTCGAACCATCTTAGCCTCAGTTTGGAAGTGACTTTTTGGTTTTTTTGGCTATTTTAACCTGGGCTTAAAAGCTTGGTTTGGAAAGGACTTTTTGACTTTTTAAATTTTTTTGTGAGAAAAGAATGTAATAATTATGGTTGGATGTGATGTTTTATTTGTTATGACTAAAATAGCCTATTTTGTTTTTTGTGACTAAAATAGCCAAAAAAAACCCAAACCATGGCTTCCCAAACGAAGCCTAAATCTATCTCCTTATGAAAATTATTCATATAATACAATACCTCCTAATGTTTATTTAAGGGACAATTTTTTTATTAATTTATTTTTACCTACTTATATTTTATTTAATTTATATTATTTTTTTATATTTTAATAAGTCTTATAAGTGACATAATTGTCAAAATATTTATAATAATATTCACATTTACAGTGAATGTTCCGTAACGTGAATATTCACACCGTTAATGTGAATGTTCACACCATCAATATAAATGTTAACATGTCAATGTGGATATTCATATTATCAATGTAAATGTTCACACTATCAATGTGAACATTCATACTTCAATGTGAATATTCGCATCGCCAAATTGCTAATCGTTCAAAAAATATTTGCAAAGGTAGAAATGTTCATAAAATACCTTAAATATGAAAATTATGATTTGGTAGATCAAATGTTCAAATAATAAGACTTATTGGAATATAAGAATATCTTATGAACTAATTGGGATTCAAACACTTGACAAATGATTTTCTAATAAATTTCCCTTTATTTAAATTACAAATTATTTTTTGTAGTTTTAGAAATTATGTCTCTTAAAATTTTTAATTTCGTAACAAATAGGTTCTTTTATTAATAAATTATCAAATTAATTAACAATTTTTAATAATATTAAAATTTTAGTTTAATTGATAATTCAAATATTTTTATTATTATATAGGTGAACAGTTAGAAATTTCAGTTTTTCAATTAATTTTGTTAAATGAAAAATTCTGACATAGAGATATTTGTAATTTTTCAAACCACATAGAACAATTCGTATTTTAAGCAAATCTCAATGGATGTATTTGTAATTTATCTTATAAACAATTCTTAGGGACATAATGTAATTTTTAGAACTATAAGGAATAATTTATAATTTAAATAAATTTTAAGGGGTGTATTTGTAATTTACCCTATAAACAATTAATTTTATTTTAAATAAAAAATTGGTTTTATCCTATGAAGTACGGGTACAGATATGAGTATTGATACTAATACAACACAGATACGTCGATATGATAAAATCTAAAAAAAAGTAGGGTACGAGTACGGCTTGGTACTTGTAAAAAAATATTTACTTTTAATTTAGAATAATGTAAAAATTAATTAAATAGTTTAATTTGTTAAGATCCAACATATAATTAACATTTAATGTCAAAAGTAAAGATATAAATCAAAATCTCAATATATTAAATAACTTATAAACCATAGCTTAATTTTAAAATCATGCTAAGTATAAAATTAAAAATAAAAAAGAAGTCTAATGATAGAAGTTTTATATATGTAGTAGAAGAAAATATTATTTTAATTGAGGTACAATACGACTTGGGTATATACTAGGTACGTCTGGAGGCCAAAAATTAAGAAGAAAAAATTTGGGTACATGTTTTGTGTACCCAGTATGTAGGCAAAAATACCATACGAGGTACTATATGTCGGTAAGTACTCGGTATAGGTATGACATATTTTTCGAAGTACCAATGCTTCATAGGTTTTATTAAACAATTATAAATACAAAAATAAATTATATTTTATTTTATAAAATGAATAATTTAAATTTAATTATATATGTTGTTTATTTTGTAAAATAAAATATAATTTATTCTTATATTTATAATTATCTAATGAAATTAATTTTTTATATAAATAATTTTTATTGCGAAACTTACAAAATAAATGATTTGGATCATAGATATGAATTTAGATTAAAATCTATCTAAAAAGTATAAAAAGATAGGGAGAGAGAGTTTGAAATCTATCCAAAAAAAAATATAAAAAGAGACAGGGAGATGAGGTATGAAAAAGAGCTTATCTCAATTATCAAGTGTTTTGAGATGATGGTTAAAAATAATTTCTTGACTTTTTTGTGAGAGAGAAAAGTGAGTTAAAAGTTAAGAAGTGGCTTTTAATTCACTTTTCAAAATAATCTCAAGTCTCCTCATGTTTCCAAACACTCAACACAAAATTACAAGTTTTACTTTCTAAATATGATATTTATGGAGTATTATGGGGGATATTTGAGAACAAGTTAAAAAAAGTCAAACATTAACTTTTAATTCATTTTAAATCACATCATTTCTTACATTCAAAACTAAAAAAATTAAAAAGTTGATTTTTAACTAACTATTCAAATCAGCCCTATGTGCCTGTGTTTCAAAACCAGCCAATAATTTCTCGTGAGAGAGAGAGAGAGAGAGAGAGAGTTGGGTGGCAGTTTAGTATTAGGCTTAACTGTGGGAGTGGATTCCCGGCTGAAATGATGAGAGAGAGGGGCATGTCCGTCTCTAAATGATTAACTCCACACGCCTCCACGCTCTTTTTAAATGCGCGTTAAAGACACCATCCCTATTCAATTTTATTTTTTTTTGGGATAAATTTAACTAATATAATACCCGTGTTATGCACGGATACAAATAAATAATTAAAATTTAATATTTTTAATTAAATAATAACATAAAATTTGTATAAAATATATATAAAAAATAATTTATAATCAGTTAAACTTTAATTATTTTTATCAGAATTTCATTATAATCCTTTCTAAATTAAATAAATAAAAATATCTTTAGGGATCGTTTGGAATGTGAATTGACTTTTTGATTTTTTAATTATTTTATCTTGGGATAAAAACTCTTGTTTGGAATAAATTTTTTGACTTTGTTAACTCTTGTAAGAAAAAAATAAAATTATTATGATTTAGATGTAACATTTTATTTTATTATATTAGACTAAAAAGCTTATTTTATCTTTTTATAACTATTTAACCAAAAAAATCTCATTTTAATTTATGCCAGATGAAGGCTTAAACCCATCTCCTAAGATCATTACCTAAAATCAATCACATAATTTCTGAATTAAACAAACAAATAAATAAAATCTTTTTCAACTCACCTCCTAATATCATTGTCTAAAATTCATCTTTTTATAAAATCAAATACATAATCACAGTTTGTTGAATTTTCAATTTAAAGAAATGGATAAATATTTATTTGT